ATGTCAACATCTCGATGCCCATACCTACGTTCACGCATACAAACATACACACATATATAGACTCACTCAGAACTAAATGACGAACATACAGACCGATACAGGCGATTAGGGCTAAATAGAACGTCTGTAGACCCTAGTGATAATAGTTGTTGTACGCTAGAGACATAATCCAAAAAGATAATGGTTTAACTAAACTTTTATGGAAAACCATAGACGGTCACTGTCGTCGGAGCACCTTTGTGCAATAGCCGTGGTAACGGAAATAGCGCGCGCACGTTCTTAGACAAATTGGACTTTCTCCACTTGAAAAGATATGGCATTATGAAAAAACCATAACATATTTTTTTCAATTAAGGCCTAATCATTATTACAAGTCGCCATACAATGTCCTATTTGATGAAGAAAGGAGCACACTTTTTTAATTCAGCATTTGCTGAAACCGTAATTGGCCTGCGATTTACACCTTTGTTCGCTACTTGTTAAGGCCGCGTCGTTTAAGCGACTTCTATTGCCGAAGCATAAAAAAAATGATTTGATCCGAATGAGCCTATCGTTAGGCTTTAAATAAATCGAAAGAGTAGCGGTTAGTACAGAGACAAACAGTTTTAGTGAACGTGTGTTAGAAACTTTATATTTTCTATAAATACTTAACAGTGACTAATATGACACGTAAAATCAACGGTGCAGTGTAAATGGAGGGTGTGCAGACAGTAGGACAACTCTAATGTACAAAAAAAAAAACGCTCAGAAAAGGATTTGAAATCTACAGCTTCTTTCTACAGTCTGGGGTGTGTTTTAGGAACGATACTAAGTCAGTTGTGTTTCCTTCTCAGCATCATACACGGATACCCACCTCTTCGTTTCTGTAATGACGCATCCAGCTTCTCTTTAAGCCCGTCAAGTTTCTCCTGACGCAGGTCTCCATTTTCGCAAATTTTTAGACCTTCAGCACAATCAGCCTCTAACTTTGAAAATGGTCCCGTATTAGTCGCGTAAAATGCCTTACTGTTCTGCTAGCTCCCTAATAATAGTTCGAAAATTTTCCGGCATTTGCACTTTCTTTACGTTTCTACTTGTATTCGCTGTGACAGGTGGTCTAGAAGAAGGATTTTGTTCAAAGCTTGATCGTCGGTTCTAAAACCGTGGGTGTCATTTGTACCCTGCGTAGTAACTCGTAGCCTGGTTCGCGCAAACCTCCTGTAGTACTGTCACCACAAGCGCTTGACTTCATCTTTAACGGAAGACATAATGCACTTTGGTGGTCAATTTTTTTTTCAGGAAAATAAGCGAAATACGGCCAAAAAAAGGCATCATACGGCGCGCGTCACATGCAAAGCATGCGTTCGAATATTGTGATATTTACCCTGGGGATAGTAAATAAGCGACTAGTGATCTGTCACAAGCAGGCCTGCAGACCGCTTCTGAGCCAACGAAAAGCAGCTTTTTAATCCACACATTTCTCACTTAAGAATATATAACTTGAAACTTGCCTTAATTATTAAAGCCATTTCTGTCAGCTCAATCAACAACGTCTAGCATACGTTTATGCGGAGGCTCTTGGCTTTTAGCCCGAAGCTGTTTATTGCAAACAGGCCAATATTTATGTATCTGATAAACGCTGCTCGACTGAACGTATTTCAGAACGATCTTTAGTATAGACTAGAAAAACCTTTTAACAGGGATGTTGATACAGAAAAAGATCAATTAGCTCCCGAACCTGTATACTTTTGGCTGGCTAAAGCGCAGATGTCGAAATGCATGGCTCGATTTGTACAGGAGAATAAAAGCGGTATATTTAGGTAAAGCAGATATTACAGGATTTGGACAACAATTAGAAAATTGAAATTAGTAAATAATTCCTACATTGTACGGTAAACTATTTAGCATGACATCTTAGACCCGCAGCATCGTAAGGCTCAATCCAACTGATGGCAAAGGCTACATAAAACATACTATAATCTTATGACAACGCGCTTCTAATATCGTCACGTACCATTAAGTACAAACAAGTGGATAAAGTTGGCGAAAATAGATATGTTTTTTTTAAACAGTTTAAGGACAAGTTCGCGAGATTACCTTTTGAGTTATAGCAGCAAAAACCTGTTTCCACTAGGGCCTTTGACCTTATTAGACTTATTTCAGACCCATAAAATAGTGTGACAACCACGCAAGAAGCTTTTCGTAGTAAACTTCTGTAATAAGACATTGTAAACGATTTTCATCAACACCAAAAAATTAGAACCAGCAATAGCCGCATGTTTATAATTGCCAGGGCAAAGCTCCTAAAGAAATGCGTATTCTCTACCCAGATGACGTAACCGCAGCTCATATATATATATATATGGGAGGATACCGGTGTGCTTTATCTATTTTCTATGACTCATTGCACACGTTGAAAACGTTGAAGAAGACCAAATCGATGTCATCAGGTTCCGTTACAATGCCATGTTCTTAAATGTATTGGCACCATCAACTAAATGCCACTATACCGTGCATCAAATCAAATAGCCACCAGTAGCTTTGTATATGAGACAAAAGATAAGCTTCGAACGTAAACTAAACAGGAGTGTCAAATAGTATGTTCCAGAAAGTTTTTTTCAAAAAAAAAAAAAAAAAAAAAGCTTTCCCCAATTCGGCCCGTTTTGCCCTATGTAATTAGATTATTATGGTTTACTATTATATCGCTCTGTATAAATATCTTAGCGAACCTGTCGAATAGATTCATGCATAATTACTTAAAAAGATTGGGAAACGAAAATTATATAACAAAAAATACAAGCTATATTGAATGGACAATACGAGACGAGGTATTTATCCTGTCTATCTTTGCAGTGTCCTGTGATTTAAAATATCGCCCACTATGAACAACATTGGCAATTTGAAGACAGCATTTCAGTCTTATCATTTCCCGGCCATTTAAAGACCCATTTCGTCCTCCTGGCTTTGAGCTTAATTTATTGTTGTTCTAAATTGCAGTTTCTCCATTCCGCTAGAGAGCTACTAAGTCAGCTTGCTTTAGTAGATAGTAGTACAAGCCGTTCAATAAGGAATGTTTTAAAAATTGCAATAACTAAGGGCGATACCGTATGAAGACAAACCTCTTACATAAGAACCAAAATTAAATTGATGCCATACGGCAACTCCTAGATCTCTAATCGTAGCATCGAAGGAAACTTTGTTCTGCTTGAAACTTCATCAGTCGCTTCTTGCGACCCCTCTGTTTCCCGTTGTTGTTCTTTGTGTTGTCTATTTTCGTGCACGTACTTCTTGCTTGTGTACACGGGTCATTCTTAACTTAGTGCGGATCACCAGCCCTATGAGCACCGTTTCTAGTTGTTTATTTTGTACTACAGTGGCAACTGATCGAACAGGCATAAAGAGAGAGGAATTGAGAAGTAGCAACAGCAAGCGAGTTTAGATCAGCTCAGATGGGTTTAAGCTTTATTAGTTGGGCTGATTTTACTGAATTATCTAGATTATTAAGCAGTCGCTATAATAACACTTCTATAATCAGCTGTTTATCATTGAAAGGTTTAGAGGTAATAGAAGCTAAAACCACTCGAACAGCAACGGTATATTGTTCTTTCCATTGGACCAATGACATTTGATCGATTAGTTGCTTATCCATATCCACATAAGTGGTTATGATAGAAAAAGGCTTTTGTGCTACGATGTGTGCAGTACTGATACCAGCCATTTCGACTAGGGTTATATTGTTTCGGTTTGATTATTTATTCTATAGGCCCAATGTAATAGCTGATAGCGCTGTAGGATTCTATAAATATAACGTGGAAACCTAATTTGCCCACTGTGAAAGCTTTCGCTCAGGATGCAAGTGAGAACATCCCACATACCGAGAAAAAGGGGTTAAAAAGCTTCAGAGGTTAAAAGACTATCCACGAGGTACCTTGGGGAGCTACAAGGGCTACAATATTCGTTCTACTGTGCTGTAATGCTTACTCAATAAGCGTTCACAGAACGCCAACGCCAAACGAACTGTATCCTGTTATATTTTTTCGTATTAGTTCTTCTCTACGAAATCAACGTTTCCGAATAGAAATATCATTTGCAATAGCCGATTTAGATGGGTGCTGCCTTTTTCGAGGTCTTCGGACTAGAAAAAAAATGACACTAAGATTGTCATAGTAATATGCAGTTTTTTCATGCTTAAAAACCAACTGCCAGTAGTCTTCGACATAGGTCGACAAAGCCATAAGAGGAAGCCTCTGGGTTGTATTGGACCAATAAGTTCATTTACTTTTTTTGGGAGTGTCCGGTGGAGCCGGAGTGATTGGTTGTTTCCACTCTGCGGGAACGAGCAGATGCAAAGCCTTCTTTGACTGGAAAGGATTAAAGGCAAAGAAGAATCTTGAACGAAATCGATGTGAACAGACAACTGCTCGATTGGGCCATTAGGAGTGAACTACAAAAGAACAAAGGACAAATCTACTGCTGGGTACAAGAACGTAACATTTCAAAGCCACGAGCTTAAGTGAAGCAAAATAAGGTTTGTATTTTTCGTCTAGTCTACAAGGTTAGCGATATGGCGCGCTGAAGATCGAGCGATCCTATCTAAGCGCTCATATGACTACAACAGACTACATATAGTACAATATAGTATCATCTTGAATGTCTGTAGTTTTGAAGAAGCAGCTTATGATTATCGTACGGTGTGAAGTAAATGCCGTTGGCAACGTGCTATCAGACTGCGCCGTACGTTTGCAGTACGGCATTCTACCCATACGACCCAAATTAGTGAGAAACGCGGCAATCTAAATAGAGTTACACGATTGAAGTTTCTCAATATCCTAGGTATCCGAAATCGACCTATCCGCATCGGTTGATTAATGATCGCTTATAAGTTGGCCCGACTTTAAATAGTAGGCACCGACAATTAGTAGAAAAACAAATAAGATCGGGCAGGGTTCTTTATATGTTATTTATTAGCCTATTAGTAGTATACTAAAGCGAGAAGTGCAGCGTTTTGTGTGTGCTGACTTTAAACTGATTTCGTCTATACAAAACTTTGTAAAATTGTCTCAGTAACTTAGTGTTTTATCCCCGCATTATCGACTCACACGTACGGTGTGTCACGCGCAGTATGGCACCTTATGAACTGAAGGACATTCAGCTAATTTAATTAAACCAGCTGGATTCCTTTCAGCAAAAGTTACGCACTTTTCAATCGCTAGGGATTTAGGCACCCGGTTTTCAGCGTCGTTGGCATCAACTAAGTCGAATTCCTAATGCATAAGTATTTACTTGTATGTTTTTGGATTTTCATGAGATTACATAAAGAACATGTAGCTATATTTTTTTTACGCATCCGTAATCTAGAGTTTACTTTGGGGCTTGGGGAATTGAATTTATTTGAAAAAATGCAATAGCCTTGTACTAGCAAATGGGAATAGAACAGAGGAAGTACATGAGGAACCGTATTTTGCGTTTTGCCTCGAACGCACTCGGCTGGCTTCTAGTTTGATGGTGTTTGCCCCTGTGCCAGTGTACTTTGGCCTTCGCGTGTCCGTGAGGATGTCCTTGAGTACGTGTGCTTGTCGGTCTAGTCGGTACGTTACCAGCCTTCCCCGTAGTTGCCCACCTCTGATGTTACAGTTTCGGTCGTCTTCTTCGTGTGCCGTTCTTCGAACAGAACTACCACAGCAGAATAGTATCAGTAGGATTTTTTTACGACCGGCAAACCAAGACGCGCTTAAATGCGGAGTGGGCAGACGACGGCTCAGCCCATGATGCCAGTCGATCACTATACACTGAAAAATAGTTACCAGAAGCATCAATGCACTGAAAAGTTCCCGACCTCTATTGTTCGCTTCTTTTTCTCGCTAAATGTTTCTCATCGGTGCTAGCCAATGGCTCATCGTTGTTTGAACAGACAAGCCGTTGGCGCATGTACGGCGTTCAGTAAACTATTGAACGATATAGAACTAACAAAAGACCCTATATTTAGCGTCAGAGAAGTCATACAGAAGGTTCTATAGGTGGGTCGGTTGCCATTCATATAAGCGGCGCCTCCTGTATCTACTCTATACAAAGGAAAGTATTAGAGCAGATCCAACAGCTATTTAAATGTGAAATAACAAGTTTAGGACGGCTTTAAGCCGAATAAGGTCGTTTAAATTAACTAGTGAAGGATCTTGTTTATTATTTCTGCAAGATAAATTTTGTGCCTTAGAGATATAGCAGCAGAGGGAGGCCTTATAGAAAGCTGATCCTAAGTACTTGTCCACACAGAGAAATAACCGAGGCTCACACCGAAGTCTAGAAGAGGGAAACGAAATATAGGGATAAAAACAAACTATGCAAAACATTGTATGCGATTTTCGACGACAATGGAATAATTCAAATAGCCTGGAAATAACATATTATTTTAATATTTGGTTATACAACTGAGCTACCCATAGTATAGATGTGAATTTTTCGTAGAGTTTGAAGTTTGTTACACAGCCGGATTTTTGCTTTCGTCGTGGTAGCGGCTTCACGCTCAGTACCTACATGTATTATTATCTGTCGGATTCAGAGGAAAGTCGGTGCCTGAACCATAGCACCTTGACAATCTCTGATATATTTCAGGATATTTTTTAACTATACTATTGCTTTGACCTTAAGGGAGGATTTTTTCATTTTGTCTTAATGATTTTTGTACGTACTCTTATGAGCCTGGCCCTTCAATCGACTGCGTGCGTGTACGCAACTTCTCTATGCACATTTACATTGATTCACTATAAATTTGCAAAAGGCCAAAGGGAAGGCTAATAAATCCGTTAGCATCGCGTACATTTCCTAAACTAGCCCAATATCTGCCAAAATGTGAGTATATCAGATTGTGTAAGCTATGTAGTATCATTATCGAACATTTACTTAACACCGCTTCTTCTTCTCGACCCCCGACGTGGTGAGCGATCGACGCACTACGCATATAATTCCAGCGCTAAGCATTAGTTCGTTTAACGTGTTCTGATCTTTCTCGTCAATGCAGGATTCAGATCATAACGAGGCAACCACGAAAAACCATATCTGGTTATGCATTTTGGTGACTACTCACCATAATCGTGGTGTTATGCTAGTTCCTTCGGTAAAACTAATGTTCGCCTTAGTCTACATTGGGCTTCTTCTTTTGTCGGGTTCGGTCCGTTGGACCCTCGATAGTTTGCGTTACTCCAAGCACATCTTTTTATCGGCCATTAGCTTTAAGCTTTCGCTACCGTCTGCCGCACATTTTTGCCTAGAAGTACGTTCCGCCCCCTGGAAGTAGCGCTATGATAATATCGTATCTAGCCCTTTTCCACTTGCGATATCTTTTGCGGGTAACGTCGTAAAAACGCGCTCCGTCAATACGGCATATATTATATAATATTGTTTTTCTTTGTCTATTTATAGTAGAATGGCGCCGAATGTCTAGATAGCATTAAGACGAATCTTCGAGCTTTGCTTCCGGCATACTGTTAAATATTGCTTCAGGCGGCTGGTGGGTTCGTGTTATCAAACGAAGTATTCCTACGTCCGTAAGAGTCTATAGTTGGTCCTTTCATCAGGACGACTACGTTTCCCAGCAGCTTACTGTAGAAATCAAGCTAAAGGTTTCATCATCCAACCACACTAAGAAAGCTTTTAGCACCAATTTCAGACTGGACTCTATTACGATTGCGGCCGAATATACTCGATGGCCCTATGAAATTATGGGGCCTGACTGCAGTAACTGTACTTATAAATATTACGATATTGCAACCTAGTGTAAAGTGTTCCCCATAACTTTGAAAATGTACTTTGAAGTTTTCATAGATGGTGACGAGTAGCACAGCATCCACTGGCAGGCTACGTGTATTTCTTTACGCTTAATGAAACTTCTTAAAAAATCTTTTTGGCCTTGTTAAAAATTTTCTACTGAATGATAAATGACCCGGTCTTGGAAAACGGCCTAGAAAAACGTCCTTGGCCTTACGTAGTTTTGCCACGTACATTGTACACTCCTACCATGATTTTTATGTTTCAGTGACGTTAGCCATGCCGATAATTCGTTGAACCTGATTTTATATGCCGTAATACCTCCACCTTTACCAATAAGCGAGGCCTGCGGACATAATTACCAAAGTGAACGATGACCTCCAAGAATGGCTGGGTAGCACGTAGGTTCCTGTAAATTTGTGGCTTTTTCCATTCGTTAGTCAAAGATAAGTTCGTCCATGGGCGATGATCACCTAGTCATTGCAGATTCAACCGTTAGCAGAGTTGACCCTTTTCAACTTCCGTTTTTTAGCTTCAACTTACAAAATGGATTTCTTAAGTTTAACTGTTCTAGTAACACGAAAAATTCAGTTCGTTCTGCGAACACCTTAAGGAACGAAAACATTTCTTTTCGCTTTTCGCCGTCTGGACTTTCCAATTCCATCTTGAAAGCCTTCAACATTCTGCACACTTACATTAAGAGTCTGTATGGCTTACGAAATCGCGCAGGCTGTCGCTCCTAATATATGTAACCTCAAGAAATATAAGGTAAACAACTGGCAAAGATGGTTCTCACCTACCTTCACTAATACATCGTTCGCACAACGTTGGTCGTCGCTTTCTGTTGCTCAAGGGTTGTATGCACAGAACTTTTGCCGGGCGAGCCCTGAGCTTTGAAGTCCTCATTCTGAGCATGAAAGTCCATAGTTTAAAAATTATTTTCTTAATAATTACAAATAGTGTTGTAATAATCGATTGCATAAACTAGTACACAACATGAGAATATCGTCCGTGTTCATGTGACACTCATGGAAGTAGAACGAATACTGAACTTGTTGTCCGTAAAAAATTTGCACGGAACTTATACATACTAAGTAAACAAAGATTGCTCAGATATAGTATGGTGTTTCTGCGAAAGTACACTTTATCATCGTAAACAGTGTCCGCATCGTCGATCCTTCACCTCGTATTGTAGAAGACACGTAGATATATATATACTGCAACGATGCTATCCGTGATGACCCCTCTAAGCATTCAAATTTTGTACGGGAGGTTCACTAAATTTATGTTCACTGAAGTGCGATTGGTTTGCACGTTTGATCCCTCCGATTGCTATCTACCCTAATTCCTAATAATAGTTATACCGTTGTTCAATGAAGACATACGGCAGACTAATGCTCTTCGGGCCAACACGTACGTGTTACACGGGCGGAGAAAAATGTGCCGATTCGCTTCTTATCAAACTTGTTGACGTCTGCTGTATGAGACCCGTATTTTTTCCGAAGCTAATCAAAAGGTCCAACCCTATCTAGTAAATGCGTCTTTTCCAACGGTAGCCACCACTTCACCTCGAGGAACTTCGTTGCCAACGGGTAAGATGCGTAGATGGATATTCATGTTATGTTAGTATTCATCTTTCATTCCGCAAATGTGTTAACTAAAAAATACAAATCTTCACAAAACAAGAACAACTTTAAATTTAAACTTAAAAAAGTGATCCGTTTGGATTCGGCGTCTTTTCAAATGGCCATGCGGCTTCAAGAGAGCGCTCATTCAAAATCGGCACTCTCAGACAAACCTTTCTCGTAAAGATGATGTAAATAATCCCAGCCATGACAGAAGATGCTTGGTCATCGGAATTTGGACAAAGATCAGCTGTTATCCAGTATCGTTGCGTTGGAGTGCCAACGAGATAATAAACTAGGTCATAAAGCGTATGGCATTGTAAGCGGTTATAGTGCCGTAAGAGAAGTAGAAACAGGCTTTAACACAACGCAACGGAACATTGAGGACAGGCATAAAATCGCGCGGATTTTAGCGTTCGTTAACCCCCTCGAAGAATACAGTTCTGGTCATCCTTCAGCATCGATAGGTTTTTTAGCTTCGAAATTTAATGGGGGTGTAGCTACGATGTCATAACTGTTGATAAAAATCGTAGGTGTACGTTACGTGTCCGACAAGTTAAAAATACTCCCTGGCGCCACTAAAATCTCGAAATTAGTTTAACATTTTTTTAAGCTTCGATTCTAGTCAAGGTGAAACATCGTCTTTGACCCTTTTCCTACGAAAAATGTTTACCGTCGGCACAAAGATCAACGGTTTTTAACTTGCTCACAATCCAGGGAATGTATCTATTATGGTCAAAATGAAATTTACGGCAAATGTTCAAGTTTTAAGTGTAGTGTCCCGTGAAGAAGAGGCCATGCCACCGTATTTGTTCGGGAAGGCGACAACATCAACAAAGAAGCCTATCGGCGTGTCCTGCAAGCCGACCGCGTATACATGAAGCATTTGAAAGAAGGCAATACGTCTTCTAGTAAAATGTTGGAAACACTGTGCAGTTAGCTTCTTAGTTTTAGCTTCTTGAGAATTCGAGCCCGTTTTGTATGGAACAAACTTTGGCGCCTAATAGCCCAGATTTGAATTTACTGGATTACTATTTATAAGCGGTTACGAAGTGAGGGTCCAACGAGTGTTGACACGCTAACATTGTCCTCATGATAATTTAAAGGGTAACGCATTTGCCTGTAAGGACACGTTGTGGTCTAGGTTCAAACCCGGGCATAGACAAATTTCCTTTCGTGCTGAAAGCTAGTTGACTGATGGAATGCCGAGTGGAGATATCGGACGTAAAGCTTGAAACATATAGATATGATAACGTTGACTCGTTCGTGCTACACAACTGCGAAAAGAAAAAAACATTTTAAAGTCTGTGGTAAATTTAGGTTACGAATTGATGCTATAGTCGAGGCTAACAGAGGTAATATCAAGTACACCTGAACTTCAGGATCGACTTACACAAACGATGTATTGAAATATGTGTATTCTGATTAGCACAGTTTAAGAAATAAACGAGAAATGCATTACTTCGTAGAATTACTTAGCCTTTTCTAACAACATCACAAAATGCTTACAACGTAGCCGATAGCTACTGGGAACTGCTATTCAGATGAAACATGAATTCACATGGGACGTCCAAAAGGTCACATATATCGGTATAATTTTAAAATAATTGGTAATATATTCTTTGTCTAAGAAATTATTAAATATTGGATTTTTAATTGCAAAAGTTGCGGTATACTCGCTAGATATGGACTGTATACAATCATCATTCATATATCGTTAACATCGAATCGAACGCTCTGATTTTGCAGGATGCGTCGTTTATAGTTAATCGTACTCGTAGACGTTCTACAAGAGCTATTTGAAAAAGCCTGAGACAGACTAGCTATTGCAGGAATTCGGGTTGGACTGTGTCAGGTGAAGGACTTGCGGAGTCTGATACGATATGAGTAGGCGGTGCTCAAATTAGAAGATAAGTTAGAAGACGGCAACGGGAAAGTGGAAAAGAAAAAGTGAGCCTATAGATACGAACCGTAAAGGGGAAAGTAAATCACGTTTTTTCCCAGGTAAACGTACAATGAATGGGCCTTGCACACGGTTGCTTTGCACACTGCGTACCAATGCGTTTGGTTGCTGTACCAATGTGTTTGGAAACTATAACCTCGGTGTGTCGAAGGAGACGTTTCTAGAATTTAAGTCATATTGTTTATATACACAAAATTGTATAGAAGAAGCTAAAATATTCCTACAGTAAGAATGCGGCGGTTTTGCTGGAAAATCTCGTTTTCGTTCATCTTTGATGTTCATTCTTGGTCGACAACAGCAGCTAAAGGCTTGAGCGCTGAAATGTTTGGGAGACGTAGTTAGCAAAAAAGTGTTTTAATATTGATTTTTGCGATGTCGCTAATGTTGTCTTTGAAACATTGCAAAAATTGCAAGTACTAAAACACATTTGAGAAGCACAAACACTAGAAAAAAAAAATTCTATTATCGTATATAGAAAACTTCAGCAACGTTCCTGTGACAATCAATACATACTAAGAAACGATTTGTAAGTTGTTAATATT